TGTAGAACCCTAGGGGAAGTTTCTTAGGAACCCCTCCTTAAAGTATTTCTTTGTAGAATCGAATCAAGGGGCTACGCCCCTGCGGCAGTCGAGCGGAAAACTGGGAAAACGAGGAAGGAAGGCCGGGTCATTTGAGGGAAACTTGAGAAGAGGCAGCCTAAACTGCGACTTCCTGAATTTAAAAACGCATTATCAAAGGCACATAAATAAAGGTCGACGGTCGGCGATCGACAGGCGGCAGTTGTCGCTGCTCCCGTGGGGAGAAATCATTGAACGAAATCGACAGTCGGCAACGGGCATATAGTAGTAAAATTTATTGCACTTTTTCCGCTCCCGCGCAATCCTTTGTCATGGTCCGAACGAAAGAAAAAACCTTAAAAAAAATTAAAAAAAAAATAAACCTCCAACTCTCTGACCCAAGCAGCAGCAGTAACACTTTCAACTCCAATCCGAGGAACAATGAAAACTCTTTCAAATGCAACAGCAGCGGCGAAAACAAAACGAAAAATACATTAAACTGAGACCTGGAAAAAAAAGCATTTTTCACGAATTAACGTGGCCAGTGAAGCCGAACAGCAAAAGGTTTTTTTTATAATTGATTTCCTGCGATTGCGGAGCGACCGAATCAAACGTGAAAGAAAAGCCTTCAACAACAGCAGCAACCTGAGCACCAGGTCCACTCCAAATCCAAATCCGAAACCGATTCCGACTACCGTGCAAACCCATTTCGCAGCTAACAGCGCAACAAATAAAAATAAATTATACTAGAAAAAAATGGCACACAATATTGTTGGGCCAAAATGGACGGGGAAAAATAAACTTTTTTTCTCCATTTTTTTTTATTTTTTTATATGTATGTGTATGTGCAATCTACAGAGGCATATTAGTTTATTTGAATGGTAGTTGTTGCATTGGCCAAAAAAGAGAAATCCAAGCTGCAACAAAAGGTGAAAATAGTGGAGGAGTGGGAGTGGAAGGCTATAACTGAGAGGGTTTAAAATCAGCCATCAATGTTGAAAACAATGGCTTTCATTAAATGAATGTTAGGGGTTTACAAATACCCTATATTTTTCAAAACTTGGACAAATGTATGGTATATTTTAGAGCCTTAAATCTAGAAGGGCCTTTAAAATAAATTTTCTATTTAAGACCATATACCTTAAACCAATTTTTTTACTTTTTTCTATTTTCTAAACTAGAATTTTTATTTACCTCACCTTACCTGTTTTGAGAAGACAATACGTCCCGCGTTTCTTAAGACCATCTGAAGATTTATTAAAGGAGTCCTTTTACAATTTTATTTCAGGGCTTACCTGATGGCGACACCTTAGGGGATGATGAGACCGTGCACTTGGTCTCACGATCTTCGGGATGATGTTCTGGAACAGATAATGCCTGGGTATGACCCATATCAAATCAAAACTCCCTCGCACCCACAGTGTACCAGAGTAGAGGTACCAAAAAAAAAGGTTAATACAAAAAAAAGACGAGAAAAAAAACACTGAAAAATACAAGCCAACAATAACAAAATGGATGGAAAAAAAAGTACTACCATCAACACGATCATCAACGAGAACCATAAATAAGACTTAAATGGCATGAAAAAGGCAACAGACTAAAGGCAAACCTTAAACAACAACAACAACAATGGTGGGGGAGGGGGCTGCAATCAAAACGCAGGCTATGGCCATCAACAACAACAACAACAGCAGCAACGTTAACCACAGAAAAGAAAAAGCATCGAATAAAAAATACAACAACAACTATCATACGAAGTCAACGTTATATATCGGCTATAAACAACAACAAAAAAAACAACAACGACAGCATCAAGCAGCCGCACCTTCGAACCTGCCACACACTTACCTGTCCAATCTGTATAATCGTATATATGTGTGTTACCTTTGGTTGTTTCCTCTTCCTTGTGCTCTGACTTGGTTGTTGGAGCCTGCAGCATCTAAAGTCAACAACAACAACAAAGTCGGTCAGAGAAATTGGCTATAAAGCCAAAGATCATGATACTGTATAAGACATATATATTTTTTTCAAGAGGCTTTTATTTAATATGCTATATAATTTTTGTATTTTTATTTAAAAACTTATATATTTTAAAAGTAATATTTCTTGAAAACAAAACCTTATGATATTCTAAGATATCTATGATACTTTAATAAATATAAACATTATATTACTTCAAAAATTAAAAAAAACAGGGATGTTTCATATTTAAGAGCCTTGAATATTTTATAAATTTTTAAGAAAAAGATAATACAGAAAAGCTTTTAAGATTCAAAGAACAATTTCCTTAAGGTGAACATCTTAAATTAAAGAGTTATACACCGAGGTCCTATAACTTTTTAATTTAAATTCTGTACTTTTATTATTTAGAATATATATATTTTTTAAAATAATAATCATATGCAAGTCCATAGTCCATAACCCCAAAAGGTTAGTGTATTGCAAGCAATCCCGTCGAACGACGGACGCGTGTTGCTTTGCCATATCTTTGACTCAATCTGGAGGCAACCTGGCACCGACCCGACTCGATCCAGCTCCGCCGCTCACCAGTCCCCCTCCCATTCGATGCGTAACCCCCGTAACCCCCATGGGTTGGGCGATGGTGGGGCAAAGATAATACCTGGCAAGGTGGAGTGCTGAGGGCGGTAATGATGAACCCTCGCCTCACATCACATCACATCCAATTGAGGGGCGGACGGCAGTTTCGTTTGGTTTTTTGGTTGTTTATTTATTTTTTTTTATTTTAAAGCAAAACTAAGGAAATCCTTCGACACTGCCAAAAAGATCAGGTTTGTCGAGAGTTAAAAGCATATAACACAAGCAATTAAAATAACCCATTTAATGCCATAATTTAGTGACATAACACCGAAATAAATGGAATAGATAAATAAGCTTGGCGCCGTACAATCCTCTGAATATTTATATGTTTGCTAAACGGATTTCGATTTTAAACATTCTAATTAAAAGAAAAAAACTCCAGCTTAATGCGTTTATTTATTCGAGAAATAAGGGAAATGCATAAAATGAAACTAATGCCAAAAGTGGAATTAAATAAAACTCCTAAATAAGAATAGAGTTTCTATTTTTAGGTTTATTTGAAACCCTTTTGTCTACAATACTGAATAGTTTTTGCCAAAGGCTATTAATTAAGCTTTAGAAGGTCTTTAAAAAAAAAGAAAGTATCTTCTAGAAAAAACTGCAGAGAATGCTTAGAGAATTACCAATGATTTCACCTTTCTGCAATGCCCAATACTTAGGGTATCAAAACCGGCCGGGGCTCTGGTAAACAATGCTTGTTTGTTAGCTTGACTGGAAGATTGTTTTGCAGACATAAATCTCAAGACCAAAAGACAGTCCAAGCGAACAGATGTGGACCAAAAAAAAATATCAAGAAAAAATAAAAGCCAGAAGTAAATAAAAAAAAGCCTCAGGGCTAGAAGCAACCCAGACACACAGGTCCACAATAAATTCACTTCACTTCCATCGAAAAGAATTGAAATTATTGCTTATAGCCAATATACAATGGGGTATAGGTGGGATATTAAAAAAATAAATGGTTTTTTAAATTTAATGGAATGTTAAAGAAATATAATTTGTTAAACAATGTAGTTGAAAAGATTGTTTTAATTCTTAATCCTAATATATACTATAAGGTTGTATAAATACCTTTTAGAATAATCTTACAAGTCTGAGAGAATATCCTAGTTAGTGTTAAGATTTTCTGACTTTCCTAAAACCCCAATAGACCACTTCTCGAGTGTATCTTAAATTCGGCTTAAAATGTTGGCTTTAATTGTTTTTTATTTTTTGTTTCTTGCTCGCTTTTGGCTGACACTTGAGTGAGGTTTTGACTGTCTGAGTATCCGAGTGTCTGCTCGGCTTATGTGTTCATTTGTTTATCGCCGGGACAGAACTCGAAACCAGTTCCCCCAGATGAAGTTCTATCGTAATTGCGTATAACTTTAAGTACAATACATTAAGGTCTAATTGACAGACAGACTGGCAGCCCAAAGACGCCCCTTCGCCCCACCAACCCACCAAATTATCAAAATGGGAATAATGTTGGTCGTGTTGGTGTTGGGATTTATTATATAAGAAGCATGCGGAATTACGTAAGCACTTGTCGAGCAGTTTGCCTTATGGCATTAAGTAATTCTTAATTCTTTCGGATCTTGGGTCTGAGCTCTGCTCTTCACGACTTTGCGATTCAGAACTGATCGCCTGACTCACTCGAGGTCGAATAATTACAGCCCTATCTCTCGCAATCGATGGCTGAAACGGGGAAGTGTATATTTTATGCCTTTTTGTTACCCCGATCTCTTCCTGGAGCCTTTTGTTTATTCGAGCATGGCCAATTGATTACGACTCTGGTAATTTCCGTCCATTTAAATTAAACCTTACGAATGACTCTCGGTTTTAGAGATGAAAATAAGACTAAAATAAACCTCAAGTACCTATAGATTTAAGATTAATACATTCTGCTCAGGAAAAAATGTGTTATTAGATTTTGATGATTTAAGATTTAAATTTAATACATTCTTGTTAGGAAAAAATGTGTTATTAGATTTTGATGCAGAATGAAGCAGAATTGATCTACAAATCGATTAAGGTACTCCGCTTAAGAATAGCTTGAGTTGTGGCAAAGATATGGCTTTTTCTGAGGACCATGCTGTCCCTCCCAGGGGTTTTCCATTTTTTGGAAGGCGTTCATATAGAAAATTTGAGAAAAAATCTAAAAAAAAATGTGTCATTAGATTTTGATGCAGAATGGAGCAGAATTGATCTACAACTCGATTAAGGTACTCCGCTTAAGAATCGCTTGAGTTATGGCAAAGATATGGCTTTTTCCGGGGACCATACTGTCTATCCCAGGGTTTTTTAAAGTTTTGAAGCACCGTGGCTAATCGATAATAACCGTAGCTAATCGTATTTACTCAATAAGCCAAAAATATCTTTAGTATTTTATAGCAGTTGTAGAAAATGTGTCTGCTAAGAAACTTTAAGTTCTGGTTTCTTATGGGGTTCCTTCTTGATGTAAAAATGTGTTTTGGAATCTACAGGGATGCCCGTACAGTTGGCCGCGATGGAACTTTGAGGTATGAACCCCAAAAACTAACCCTAGAACAAATGCAAACTTTTGCCGAACTTTCGAGTATTGAAGATCTTAAACAAACTGTTCAGGAAATTGCGATTGAGAGAGTTCCCGGATCCCCTGGACATTTTTATGTGCGGGAGTATATAAGCAATAGGCTGTCGTTGCTGGGCTGGAAGGTGGAGTTTGATATTTTCACGGAAAAGGTACCGATCCTTGGATCCGTCACATTCCACAATATAATCGCCCGACATAATCCCGATGCGAAGAGGACTTTAATGCTGGGCTGTCACTATGAAAGCAAGTACTTCAAGGAGTTTAATTTTAAGGGCGCCACGGACTCGGCTGTGTCCTGTGCCCTTCTGCTCAACATGGCGAAAATGTTGCACAATGAAATCCAGCGCAATGAGATCAGTCTGATGTTTGTTTTCTTTGATGGGGAAGAGGCTTTCCATAAATGGTCTAAAAAGGATTCGCTATATGGCTCCCGTCACTTAGCAAACGTGTGGGAAAAGCAGGGCTTCCTGGATCACATCGATCTCTTTCTACTCCTCGACTTGATCGGAGCCAAGGACCTGTCTTTCAATAGCAATATTCCAAAGACTGAGAACTGGTTCCAGCGGCTAGTCCAGCTGGAGGATCAAATGATCCAAACGGGAATCCTGAAAACAAATCGTTCTATTTTCAAATTTATGACAGGATCGGATGTCCAGGACGATCATATTCCATTTACCCAACGCCAAGTCCCGGTGATCCATTTAATAGCCACTGACTATCCAGCGTTTTGGCATTTGCCCGAGGACGTGGAGCTGAATGTCGACTACAATACCACGGAGCAGGTGGGACAGGTCCTGAAAATGTTCATCATGGAATATCTCCTGTCGGCTCCAAGGTCTAAGTCACCTTATGTGTCACTTAGAAGCAGTGGATCCGATCCTCTCAAAATTTACATTTCATTGCTTTTAGCCATATTTGGTTTGATTTTGGTGTTATTGTATCGAAAGTCAAAAATGTTAAGAAAATAATATTTTATAAATAATTATATCTAATTTTTAAATTTAAAATAGAGCAAGGTTAAACAACATCCTTATTATTGATGACGATTCCAGGGTAATTCTCGATAATATTGTTTCTTTATTAATAACGAAATACTCCCCAGAGGCATTTGTACGATCGACTCCACCGCAGAATCCTGTGCGGTTTATGTTGGCTATATGTATATATAACTTTTTTTGTGCATTTTTGCTTATCCTGCCAACCGAATCGTATCAAATTTCCATCCATCAGAACATGCCCCCAACCGGACCGACCGTTCGTTGGCAGAAAATCGGCTAAAAGCCAACAGGGCCACGGGGCAACACTCGAAATTTATGTACGCTGCCTCTCGCTCGCTGAAAGCAACACGAAAGTTAATTAAACTTGAAAATAATAAAAGCAAAGCGAAGCAGAACAGAACAGAGTAGAACGGTGGCAGGCAGCAGTGGCAAAAAGGATATGGATGTGGCGAATAATGAAACACAAAAAGTGTACATCACAGCCAGCGGGCACCAAATGGCGGACACGGACATGGTCTACATAATACATACATACATATATATATATTGTACATATATAATACATACATATATACTATATTTATATCGGACAAGGTATGGAGTTCGGTGGTCATCATTAGCATATCGCCGACAGCAGCGCGAAAAAGGGTTCCCATTTGAAAAGTTAATCGCCAGCTGATGCTGCACTGTGATTGCGAGTGGGGCAACTTGCAAAATAATAAAAAAAATAAAACCCGAGAAGAACTGAAATAAAATAAAAAAGAAAAAGCCGGTGGGCAGTGGGGTGACGATGACTGCGTTGACACTGACAGAGGCCACCCGAGCCCCCACCCACTCGGCCAAAGTACCACCCCACCGAAGGCCATATCCCTGTCGTCGGACGTTATCTGCGGACTGCAATAAAAACGGACAATAATTAAAACTGGCAAATAGAAAGGACTGTGCTTGTGGTAGAGTACACTGGAAAAAAATAGTCAATTGTGAATTATAAAAAATATACATTTTCAATAAAGCATATAAGCAAAAATTGTAGGGTTAATCATAGAAAGTATACCTTTAGAACCCATATAAATATATATCTTAGTTTATTTCAATTAATTTTTTCCCAGTGCTCTTAAAATTGATTAAGCCCAAAGGAAAATTGTTCTTTTGACTAAATACTGATAGCATGTTAATTCAGGGACGGCCCTTTGAGCCTTTCAAAGGATTTCTTTTCCAATATTTTTATCCTGATTATTCGTTTCTTTAAAACTGGAGCACAAAGTTTGGGTATTACCACGAAAAGTCTTGCCCAACATTCATTAACAGTCTGTCGTCATTCGCCTAACCCTTTTCTGCTTAATCAACAAAAAATTGTGTACTTACAAATACATATAATTTGTACAGTGCGTTTCGTAATTATAAGTTTTAATCAAATTTTAAATTTTACAAAAATTTTAAAAGTTAAAATATTTTTTCTTACATATCTTCTTTTATAGTTTTTTTCAGCCAATCGTCCTGATAATTTTGTAATGCACTGTATATGAAAAACTTATCACATTTTCCGGTTTTTTTAGCAGGTCCGCCTCCTTTTAGCTTCTACGGTTTTTTTTTTAATTTTTTCGCTCAAAACAAATAACCGTAAAAATCTTTGCCTTCCACATCAGTCGTAAAAAAGGGATTTCATTTTAATTACATACGAATTTCTTGTTTTTTTTTTTTTGGAATTCAAAAATACTTACATACATATATAAATATATTCAGCTTTAGGTTTTTTTTTTTGCTTTTTTGGTGAATGGGTGCGAGCGAGTGCATCTGTGGATGATATAGAGAGTTCCTAACCCTTTAGCATCTTTGTGAAACGCTTTTCCTTTCCACCGTGTGTTGACTTTTATAATTAAGCCTTTTGTGTACATTTCCAGTTGACGGCACCCCAGGGGTAGGGGGAGTGTACTTTTGAGACAAGGACTAACAACCCCCGGGTGCTCACCTGGCCGCAAAGGTGGCGGTTGGGGTTGGCGGCTTCTCGTCGGGAGCATCATAAAAAGGATTAATTGTGCGCAATTAAAGAAAATATATTGCCAAGTTCGTTTTTTGTGCTTTGGATACGAAAAGTTTTCTTCCTTCTTTTCCACTCACCGCTCACTCATTCCTCACCCCCTTTGAATTATGCAAAATCATTTAAATACGTCGCCCGAAAAGTTTCGCCAACATTTCTCCGGCGACTTAACCACTTTGGCATGTGTCTCAGATTCTTATTGTTATTGTTCTTGTTGTTCTGCCGGAGCTTAAGTTCATAATGCTCATAGAGAGTGTCACGCCTGGTGGAAAAAACACCCGCGGAGGGGTCGATGGGCGGTGGGCGGTAGTATCCCTTTCCCTTCCACATGCGTTCCCGGGTTAATTGCTCAAGTTCAAAATTAAAATATTTATTACAATGAAAAACTTTGGCACTTTCGCGACGCCAACATGACGAACAAAAGGCAGCTTACAAGCGACCGAGTGCGAGTACCACTCTACAATACCCTCTCAGAATATACGTATATATTTATATGTATACCCCTTAACCAGAAAACCCTTCAACCTCACATGGGAGTTGTTTAATTTGTTTTCCGCTTAGTGATGTTTGCCCGAGTGTGTGGAGGAGGCTTTCGGAAGGTGCCTGTGCCTGGTGAGGTTGGCACTCCGGAACACAATGGAACTTATCATAAATTAAATAATTTCACAAGAGTGCAGGAGAGAGCTTCTTTTCTAATTGACATACAAAAGTTTCCATTGTGTACTGAAAATACATACGTATGTAGGTACATTTGTTGGCTACTCTTATTTCATGATTATTTTTCTTGATCCACTTGATATTTGTTTTTTCTGAGCTTCTTTTTATCTGCCGCCAAGATTGCTAAACAAAAGATTATTTGCCAATCCTTTAAAAATGTAACATGCGGGGCTTTTATATCACCTATCTGCTTTCCGGCCTTGTCTTGATTATCATTTGAGTGTATTGCAAATTTGAAGCGCATGAATAGTCAGCCCAGATCGTCCTGCGGCAATATGATGCAAGTATGTACATCCATAGAAGTCGGGTCGAGGGCCGAGGGTTTATCTGCGCACTTCAGTCGGATTTTGGCCGGGGTAGGAGTTCGTTATGGCGGATATGGCCAAGCACATCCGTTGGCAGATGTTTTTCACATACATGGCTCATAGCACACTCTTCAAGGCTCCAAGCGCATTGGATGGTATAAAAATATGCCCTTTCAACAAAAGTCATTAGAACTAAGTAAATAAATCCAAATAAAAAATTACTAGAATTTCTAATTTATAATTTTTATTAGAATTGATAATATCCGGCATTTAGTTTATTTTCTAGTACCAGATTAGGGAGTTTAAAAATCGGTCGTATTTGTAAAAGTGAAAAAAGCAGCGAGTCGAATGAGCCAGTGTAGCGGAAATGATTTGGTAGCTCCCTAGAACCCCCTATCATTCGCCACGTTCTTTTCAGGCACTCTGTGATTGAAAAGTGTTTCGGTGCTTGTTTTTCCCCTATAAATTTAAGTTTTCTATTATTTTTATCGCTCCTCCAACAGGCGGCATGCCGGCTGCCTTAACACATTCCTCAAGAAACTCTGTGATAGTCTTTTTCAGAAATTCGACTTTATTTGATTTAAAACAAAATTTAAATGTACACAATTTTTATAATAATTTTATAATTCTATAATTCAAATGGATGTTTGCGAGCGTGACGTGTTCTTCGGTTATACTGTGTGTGACGAGGCAGAGCTGGCACAACGAAATGTCCATTTCCCCTGGGATAATTATCTTCTTCTTGAAATTTTTTTATATGCTATAGATATAGCACAGGCTCCCAAGAAAATGAAAAAATAATTCACAGTTTTTAATGCCGGGCTGTTCTTTTCAATGATATTAATCAATTCGTCAATATTTGGCATCTCTTTAGTATATAGGCTCGAATAAACTGTATGACCTTCAAATGTCACTTCAAAGGCATTACTAAAAAGTTGCTAAGATATATAAAAATATCATTAAAAACTTATCTTATCCACGTTGCTGCTTTTAAGACTTACCGAAATTAAAAACAAAATAATCAGAAAACCTCCGAGTAAGATTTTTCTAAATAGATCCCATGTCCTGTTATTACCGTTCAGCAACTCAAGAAGCATAGTCAAAATTTTTCCCAGATTAAAATATACGTAGAGGCCTATTGCGACCAATACTATCAAAAGGCTGATACAAAAATTCCCTGGTATGTACGCAGATCCAACAACACGATAGTATGGAAAATGTTGGCGCAGTGTGTTCGATACAACTTCATATTCCGGTTCAAGGAAGAAAAAGCTTGAGAACAAAAAATTAAATTTATTTAAGAACACCGGTTTTTTTTTAAATAATATTATATGTTTTCTTACCCATATGATATACTTATTTTGTTGTGAAAGTTCAAAAAATAAAACGCCGCAGAGAATAGCAAACTTAACAAAATATGCATTATGATTTTTCCCCTCGAACCTCTGAAGACTGACTGCCGGCCGGAGAGCGTAGAATTCTACAGGCTCGATTCAACATGTTGCAACCGAAGCAGCAAGTTCGCTCTCCAATCAGCTGATCAAGCCAAACTTATAGATTAAATAAATAATCATTAAATGCCAAATCCGCATTTAATTCTAAACTTTTAATAGCCGGAAGAAATAATTTCAAATTATAAAAATCGAAAGTTTTGGTCCACCTCTATTAAGGATATGGAAAGCCCCTCTTATTTCCCTCCTACTTGCAGGATGTATTTTTTTTTATACTCATCATCTTCATCATCATCCTGGCATTTCGTCATTATCGAGACAGAGAATTTGTGCTGTCATTACTTTTTATGGCCCAGCAACATGATGCACTTGCCTTGCCCCATGTGGTTGAGCCCGGGTCTATGAAAACACACCCATACATCGTAGAGGTGGGGGCGATGGTGTTTTGTATCTGAGACTGACTGGCAGTTAAAATATAATTTCAGAAAAGAAATCATCATAGAGCCCGGCCAGAAGCCCCAGTGTTGAGAGGCAGTAAAAGTAAAACATCAAAGTGAATGGCAGCTGGGGAAAGGATGGGGTGGGGTGGGTAGAGGGAAGCTCGGAGGCTTTTCATGCTCGGAGGACAAGCAAGGAAGTTGAATGTGCGTTGGCTCCGTTTGTCACCGCTAGAGAACGCCACAGGCGGTGGGGCAGTGATGGGTTGGGATGGGATGGTGGGCACTTTTACAGAGTGAATAGCAAAAGAACGCATTTATCCGAGGCCCTTTCCAAAAACACACACACACACACATTCTCCATCACTGTCGTGTATCATTTTTTACATATCTTCTTCATGTGGAAAGCATACACAGAGAAAAACAAAATTTAATACAAATAATTTTTTTGAATCTTATCAGTTAAAAAATTGGCATGAAATTGAAATTTTTGTTGCATCGAACTAAATGAGAGAGATTTTTGCAGTCGCATCGAATCTTATTGAACCTCATCGAGAGAACCCTTAAAGGATTTGGTATTTCCTTTGTTAATTTTAAAATAAAACCTGTTCCTAATTACATTTGTATATTTTTATTGCACAAATTTTAATGATTTTTTACTACTTTAGAAACTATTATTAAAGAGACTTTAATTAGATATTTTTGGTTTTTTTTTTTTTATACTGTACTGTAAAAAAACGTCAGCCTTCCGAAATTGCCAGACGTTTGATTGTGTAATTGATTTAGCGAGAAAACTCTTTTCGAAGCACCTCCCCGCCACCCACCACCCAGCACCACCCCCTGTTCATCGCTTTCAATCCGTCAATCCGTTTAAAGTCGTTGGCTAATTAAGTTGCGTCCCAAAATGGCAGCAGAGTGGAAAATGAATTGAAAGGACAGGTCGGGGGAGTTGGGAAAAGGATGTGAAAAAAACAGCGCCAAAGGACTGGAACTTTTTTCTGTTATCGTTCTGGTCATAAATGAGACTTACCGACCCAAAAGAACCACCCATGAAACCACCCAACCCGCGATGTAAACGATTTCAATTGCGAGTCCTCAACACCAAAAAATTTACGATCGTTGCAGGCACTTTTATTTTATTTTCAGTCTTAATTTTTATAAATTTGTATACACTACCTAAGAGTTGTTATAATTCTATGAATAATTATATGAATAAATATTTTAAAATTATAACAATTATATTCTATGGCTTTTGTTTTAGGAAATATTTCAAGTACATACTTACTTTTCTTATTGAAGAGTATTTTTAAATCCTTTTTATTTTTTCCCAGAGACCCTGTTTTTGGCTGGCGAGACATTAATTTTAATGTCGTCGAAAGGCGTTTAAAATAAATTTGGACAGAAATATAAAATATTATTCAGTCGAGCGGCTGGTCGTTAAAAAATAGACACCAGCCGTGCTTACCTATAAAAAAACCCAAAAAGTTGAAATGTCTACAACATGGATATACCTATGAAAAAAAGGGGGGGATATCAGCGGAAAATTCGACATTTAAGCACGCGAGTTTTTATTACCGAGACAATGAAACGCCAGTGAGGCTCAAGAGCAGCCACCGCACATTACAGTGAGGTGGAAAAGTCTGCGTAAACCCACATAAAAATGGCATAAAACCGGAAACCCACCGCAAATGGGTGGAACCTGTGCGAACATGGCCGTAAACAATATTCCTAATCACATTCAGCAATCGATGCACCTGCTTTCAATAGATTTTTATGAGAACTAAAAACCTATATTTTAGCTTTAAATAAGTAAGTAGACAAATACAATCTAAAAATTGATTTTTTTTTGTCACTTGTAGAATTTAATTACATTTCAGAGTCTCAGATGTGGTTTAAACAGCCCTCAAGCTGAAGGGAAATTAGCTTTTAACACCCGATGAGAAAAATTGGTAGAAGTGCCTGTGTGGCGGGGGGAGAGCAGAGTGGTAGAGCGGTGTGACAGCGGCTTATTTGAAACGAATTTTAATTAAAACACAGCGGAAAAGTTTCGGCCAGAAAGCAGGAAACTTTCCCCTCATTCCTGCTCGTTGACTTAAATTTAAATCTCCGCCCTGACAGGCAGGGTTCTCAACTCTCAACTCGTTCAAATCTCAGTTTTGTGGTAGTTGGTTAGCTCTATTTTTTTTTTGGCTCAAAACTTCAAGATTGTGACAGTTTAAAATAGTTGAATAACCAACTGACTGGCATGGGTATATTTTAATAATGGAAAATAGGCAAATCGCTTCCAAATTCTAGTGACATTCATATTAGGGATATCATCGAGACTCGTAAATTTATGTTTTCCAGTTGCTGGAGATGTAAAATTCGCTGGATGGTTGATGGTTGGGTCAGGTGCCACATGAGATAGGCATGATCTATATAGGGATAGACGAATGAATCGGCAAAGAGCTTCAGAAGAGCCTTCTTCATAGGAGACCCATAACCCATATGATAGGTATAGGAATCTGCATGGTACTCAAAGTGCCGGAGGAAATATAAAACTATCCAGGTGGCTATCAGGTGTACGGGCGGGAGGAGGTATTTGTAGACCAGCCAATAACCAATCATTTGGGGATAAAAATCCGTAAAGTCGGCCGCCTTGTAGAGGGTGTTCAAGGTACTCGCATAGGAGAAGATGATTAGGTAAATTAAGAGGATCAGGTGGATTAGAACGACGGCTTTGGGCACATGCCGCATCTTCCAGTGGGCCAGCTGGTGGGCCACAAAGGCCGCCAGCTCCTCCTCCCCCAGTCCGGAGCCCACGTGGGTGGATGGCAGGTCGTCCACGGCCAGACCCCGGTTGAACTTGAGATTATCGTGAATGTCCAGTCGAAGGCAGCAGCAGCAGCCCAGGACCCAGGCCGTGGGACGTCCCACGTGGAAGGTGTGCACCAAATGGATCCGATCCAAGCGAAAATTGAACCGTCCCAGAACAGACAGTAGTTCATCGTCCATGACCTCTTGCTCCATCTTGTAGCTTCGGCCCAGGCAGGGCACTCCAAAGAACCCCATCAGGGCCATCACAAGAATAGTGACCAACAGGAGAAAGACCCACACCACCACGGAAAACAGCCAGTGGGTGTTCTGTTCAATGTACACAAATATCACGGTCACCGGTATTACGATCAGCTGAAGGAAAACCGCCACAAAGGCCAGAGTGCAGAGGAGACCCATCAAGGGGGGAGTTTTTTCCGGATCCACATTATAGTCGGGATCCAATGATAGCTTTTCATAGAAGAGCTGGGGCAGCAGTCGAAGGACCATGTAGATGGTAAATAGCGACATGAAGGCCATATTCAACCAGACCAGATCGGCGTGGCTATACCAGGACACACATACATTCCAGATTCCGGCCAGGATGCCAAAGTACAGATCCATTATACTAAAGAAGGCATCACACACATAGCCAGTCAATAAAAGCCAAACTGAATGCATTTCTCGGTCCTTGGACTCCTGGAAAATATCCACTATTTTAAGAAAATTATAGTATAATCTCGAGTAGATCTTAAATCCCACCTGAAATGCTTCGGCCGACATAACGCCACCCATTTCGTATGGTGGCTTCCTTTTAGTGTTGCACATTTTCAACTGTCGACAGCAGAGGACCACATGAAATGCCGCATTGACCAGAACTACCAACACCAGGACGTGGCGCAACAAGATCGGGTCCGAAAGACTCCACGTGTCCGGAATCATTTTAGTGCCAATACCATCGCCAATTATCCTCAAGGGAACTCCCTGAATGGGATCCTCATACAGAGGGGCCATGTTCCCCCAAAAAAAATATGCCCTTTCTTGTGTTAAGTTTAGAATAAAATAATTTATTTTTTTCAAATGAGAACTTTATATAAGGTTACTGGAAAGGTAATATTTTCTTTAAATATTTCCTAATCTTAGGTCTTTAAAACCAATTCACGCATATTTTCAAATCAGTAGGGATTATTTTAGTGACTAGTACAAGCCAAGGATTATAATGGCGCCAAAGAAATTACAAATATGTACCCAGGACATGTACTTGGATGTAATGGTTCTTTGTAGTTTCTTTCAAGGATTTGAGCATCCTTTCGCTTGGCATATCAATAATGAGACGAGGGCTTGGCGGGATTCTAAGGGGAATTTTGTTGCCAAGCTGGTTGCTTTGATGGTTTCGGTTCAACGCCATTACTTAACCCATACTCACACCACTCGCCATACTTATAACCACACACTCACACACACACACACACACATATGTAAATATACTCACACACACACAAATGCGCGAACATTCACTTGGCATCTCTAATTAGTAGAATTTAATCTTCACACTATGGCAACGTCAAACGTCCCGAACTGCTAACCCCGCGCCCAGGCTCTGGTTCTGGCCCAGGCCCAGCCCCGCCCCCATTCTTGGTGGCACCCATTTATCGCCCACCACCCCCCTGCTATCCTTATTCCGCCCATCGCGCTGCTCATTATGAAAAATTTCAAATTAAAAAGACGAGGGGAGTGGAACAGGGCACTATGAAAAAATTAATTAAATAAAAAAAATATTCTATTTAGTTTTTAACTTTTTTATATAAAATTTTTATTCTAAACTAAGTAATAATAAAAAGAAATACTAAGTTTTTATTGCGTAAGTACCGGGTATAAATATTTATTTCAAACCCTCAGTTCTATTGGAAACTTTCTTAAGAATATAAACATTGTTAGAAGGTTTTTCAGTTAAATAAAAAATCTATAAAATATTCCTAAATATTAATAAATAAATGAATTATAAAAAATACCAACATTATTTAGTACAATATTATTAATTAATTAACTAAACTTATTCTCAGTGTGTGACAAAGTAAAAGTTTCTCTGAAGAAGTAACATCAGGATTTGCATAAATACCAGGACATGTGTGGGCGTGGGTGGGTGGGTGTGTGTTAGTATCACACATCATGATTACATAATTTAGCTATTAAAACAGCGCCAAGTGCCTGACTAAGAGTGAGAGAGAGAAGAAAGGGTGTGAAAGAGAGAGAATGAAGGTAGCTTATTTATGCCTCAACACGCCGTTTGGCGCAGCTTCAAAGGATCCGAATGGATCCAAAAAAAGGGGGCTAAGAGGGATACCAAGTGGGGAACTTGGTGGATAGTGGGGGTAGTGATGGGTGAAAATGGAAGCGCGGGGGCGTGCCTGGCGAGGGGTATTCCAGTTCAACGGCACACATGTGCACTTGATTTACTCATTAGCGTTACTTTTCTGTTCATAATAGGACGCTTACCAAGCCGGAAACCGCTGCTGCTGCCACGCCACCCCCGCTCCCTCTACCCGATGCCAACCACCAACGCACTCCCCCCCGTCTCCCGTCCCGTGGAACCTGGTATTCCACATTTGGTTTCATTTCGAACCGTTCTGGATGCGTCGGCATAAGCCGCTTAGGCGTATCCTTTGTGCATGTGTAATGGTGCTGGCTCACCCCCTGGGTCCTCTTACCCCTGCCCCTGCCCCTGCACCCCCGCACATACGCACACCCACCCAACACTAAGCCCTAATAATCCTCACTATTTTGGCCAAAAAAAAAAAGAAATAAGAGAAAAAGGTAAAGTACTGGAAAAAATATTCAAGTATTTTTAGGAAACAATTGTCTTTTAAAATTTCTCAGAAAAAGGGAGATATTCTTTCGATTTTGCTACAAACTTTCTCTCAGTGCACTTGCGTAACTGGGTAGCAACCCAAATCGCTAGGCCCATATTTTCATTCTCCCTTCCAAAGTCAAAATTTCACATTTCACATTCGCCAGGGGGCTGATTGTGATTCCTCGCCTTTTCGGAGATTCGGCTTTCCTTGACTACCAAAGATGCACTCGTCAGATACTTTTCATACACAGATCTCTCCCGAGAGAAGGGTTTACTTTACTACCAATCAAGATGGTCGAGGATTTTATGAAACTAAAAGGTCCTTAGAGAATGATTTACTTTTAATGAGGTTAAGCCCCAACAAATGGCACTATTCTCCAACGAGTTTCCAAAATATTCTAATAAAAGTTTTTCACCCGCATCGAATGGAAATTGACAAGAAAAGGGCCAAGTTAATAGGAATGAGTGCTAAATATTTTATTTCAGGTTTTAGAACCCCAGACCTTTATTTAATACTTACTTCAAAAAGATTATACTTGTGCCCCAGCTGACTTCAAAGTTGAATTATGACTGTAGTAATCCTAAGCCGTATAATTATGTGGTTTTTGACTTGCAGACCTTTGTCTGGACTATTTACCTGAGGACTTGATAGATTTGACCAAACTCCTTGGCCTTCGGGCTCTGTGATATATGTATATCCTCCTGGGCTACCTCAATTATCTTGCGTAATTGTGTAGAAGATAATCCGAAACTGATTCGGATTTGTTGCGGTCGAGTTGTGTGCCGTCATCTTTGGCAATCGATAGGCCCTACCCTGGATAGGAGTTGGGGAAAATTTACGAGTTTTTTCTTTACAAGTAGACCATCCATTATCGACGATAAGATCGCAATGTGAATACAAGTTTCCGTTGCGTTACGTGATAAGGAGATTTTAAATTAATAATTCACTCTTGTTGCACGAAACGTGAAAAACGTTGGAAAATTGCTCAATTTTCCATGAAAACAAGGTAAAAGGCAGAAAAGGCAACGAAAAAAAAAAAAAGAAAGAAAGAGAAATTTATGCTAATTTTTGGACAACTATCACTGTTTAACATCGGTGGGGACGTGGACAACAATAACCACCATCCACCCGAAAACTCGATGGTCATGTAAAGCAGTCGACTGAGCAGTCGACGTCAACGACGACGTCAAAGGCAGCGTAACGAAGTAACCTAATTAATTTGTGGCACTCATTAGCAACAATTGAAAATGCCAAAGCCAGCAGAAGCAGCTCCTCTAACCGGCTCCCCCCAGTTTTTCTTTCCCTGCCACTCGTCAACTCGACCAGAAGTTGGAAATGTCCGTAATGAGTGTGGGGCACAACCCCAACTGCCCCAAAAACGCCCCAGTCCCTATTACTTTAACGAATAAAAGAAAGACTTTCTTTTTCATTCAACGAATATTTTATACTCTTTAGGCTTGAGTCTAAAATGTAGACTTTTAAATATTAAACATGAAACCCCTTTAGAAACTCCCCTCACGATTTCCAACTAGACATATTTATGTTCCTAATATTCAAATAATTTCCTCAATTTCAACCTTTAATTGTGACGTGATCCCAATCGTAATGCCAGCTTACAAGATCGGTATGTTTTAAAGACTATTTAAATGATCCATAAATCCCACAAAACATGTCCAACGTGACTCTGTTTTAATCGAATGCATTAATTTAGAATGAATAACTCATAAATTTGTTTCACTCACGATCGAATTTCATGAAGATATTTGTATTCATCAAAAATGCGATTAAGACAGAAGTTTCACGAGTTCTATTCAATGACTTTTACTTCCCAAAGACCAAGAACCACCCAGTAATTTGTTCTCATTTAGAGTGTCACTAATAGAGCTGCTTCCGCCCCATTTCGTCAGTAGTGGTCCTGAGGCGGAGTCTTACCAATTTCAATCAATTAAGATTAATGTCCACATCCAGGGTAGATTCGATCATTTATAACTACTCTTGTTTAGACGACATCTTCATCGAGGATCATCGATCAACAACGTATTTCAATCTAATGATCTTTCTGGGCCACAAGGAGTAGAACAATCAGAACTTTCAGGAATCGGGTATATAGTCTTCTTCCCACGCTGCCAGGAAAAGGCAATGGACCCGGGCTAATGAGGGCAGGTGCAGGGCATCAAATACCAAAAATGTTAACTAATTTTCGGCTTTGTTGCGTTGACGTGTGGGAAGGAAGGAAGGCAGGGAGGCGTTGCTGCCATCACCTGCTTTCGGGTTTGGGCCAAAAAAAAGTAGCCTTGGCTTGTGCGTGAGCTGGCCCTATTCGAGGGCCCTGTCAGTCGTCACTCACGCGGCCGGACCCCCCCATCCTTAGCTACTCTACGCATGACATTTTTACCAACGGCCGGGGCCCGGCGATATGCAAAATCATTTGACCCGGTCCCGGGAACTCTGGTTAGACCCCCCGATCGCTATCTAGGCGCTAATATATGCCACTGCCGCTGCCGCAAAATACCTTTGGTAATGCATAATTCGAGCCACTTTTCCGGCCCTGGCTAGCAACCACCAAAAAAAAATACCTTCAACCACTGGTGGTGGACGGTCAGTAGTGGTCGGTGGCCACAATCGTGGCTTTTGTTTTCCATTCGAGGCCTGGCTGGGAAAATCATTTAATTAACATTTTCAGCCGACTTGGAGGCGCGAAATTATCACGCATATGCGTAGTACAGTGGGTGTGCCACCTAAAATTTTAATTAAATTTAAAGATTGAAATGAATACGTAAGCTATATAACCTAAACATTTTTCTAAGGAATAGAAGTAATGGTAAAGATTTTAAGCTATGTAAATAAGTGTATACGAAGTTATAAATAATTAAAAATATATTAAATAAAATTTTAATAAAAAACCATCTCAAAACAAATGTTTCAGATGTTTTATAAACTGTACATAAAATGTTCCTTGTAACTTTATTTTTTTTAATTTTAATGTTTAAGTTTTTGAATATTAAAACCAAAGAATTCTTACCTGAAAATAATTATATAAAAATAATTACAATACCTTAAACAAGTTTCCTCAATAAAACCCCTAAAAAACTATAATACCATTTCCGCCCATTGTGTAACCGTTACAGCCAGGTCAGCTGTTCTCTTTGAGCCAAAGACCGAACGACCTTTTTGGCG